CGCATCAGCTTGCCAAATTTGGAGGTGATGTTTGACTGTAGCTATTAAAAGGAGCAGGACCACTGATGAGTGAATGAGCTGAAAAGAAAAACAACTCCTTCCTCAGTCACCTTTAAGATTCTCCATCAGAACTTCTACAGGCTGTCAGAACAAAAGGGGAAACCTTTTTTCATACACAGCAGGAAAACATATCCTTTCAGAAAACATTCAACTCTCATAAAATTAATTGTGAAATTAGATAAGTGCATCAATAAAGCACAAAATTTGAGAAGTGCTTTACACCTTTTTTGCCAGGAACCATACTTAAAATATGAGCTGACATTACATCAGGCTCACAAGCAAACCAATGAAGGACAACAAATTTCATTCCTAGTCACAATAATATCTAATCACCTGTAAAATTGGCAAAGTAGAATTAGTATGACAGAAGCAACACTTCAGGAAACCAGTGCAGTTATCAGAATCTTAGCAACATAGACTGAAAGTCAATACATGTATATGTCAGTTTGCAAACACAGAGTTGCAAATATAGATTATAGACATGAGTTTTCAAAATTAAGGTGAACAGTACTTCAATGCCTTAATATGAGATCAGCATCTCATTCCATTCAACATATTCTTTGGATTTTTTTTTTTAACACTATTCATTATTTTATGTGTCCTCCACTGCTCCTTTAGATTTTTTGAAAATTAAAAGGAAAACAAGAAAAAAAAATCACACATGTAATGCACAAATAACAGAGAAGATGAACGCAGAAATGAAAACCAAGCACATCTGTAATTAAACAAGTTTTGAAATTTGCTTAGTAGTTTATGAAACAGTTCTGAAATGGCACATTTCAGAAATATTTACTTTCCACTTACTGGTTTGTTAGTTTAGAACAGATCCTTAATGTAGGCTTCAAAGGGCTCTAAGACACCTACTTCCCATTTGTCAAGTAGGAAGCTTCTTGAAAAAAAGTGAGGTTTAAGTCTTCAGTTTCTACAGTATTCTCAGAACAAATGAACCTTTGACAGATAAAAAATTGGGGGGGGGACAAAAACAACCAAACAAAACCAAACAAACAAACAACCCCAAAAACAAACAAACAGGACATTACTGGCTTCTTGACCTGCATACAGAAAACGCCTATCGGTTGCAGTTTGCTACTCAGAACCTAAATAGCAGAGAAAAGTACCAGAGCGATGTGAACATGATAACCAAATGTTATCAATGAGAGGGCAGTTGACCTAAATTACTACTTCAAAGCTGGGGCAGATGGGAAGGATTTGTAAGAATGTCCTTCTCCACCTCACATGTATTTACAGCCTGGAAATTTCTAATGCCTGGGAGAGGAGTACAGTACCAGAGTCCCACTTCTCCTTTCTTTGCCAGATGCAAGAGAAGAATAACAGAGCTGCTTGTCATATCACTTACAAGGAAAAGGAGAGAGGATTTCTTCTTTGCCAGGAAAAACTAAGGGTACTGCTAATTTATCAGGCATCCAACCAAAAGCTGACATGAAAATTCACTGGGATCCAAATTATTAACCATTCCTGCTCCCTAACAATGCGATTAGGAAAAACTACAGTCTGTACATAAACAGTCTTATTGCTTTGGGAAACTGTTTTAAAATAAGTAGTGTTTATTATAAGAAAACTTCCCATATACCCATGAGTTTTGAAATAGAAAACAGGCTGTGCAGTTTGGAACACTGACCTTTCACCTCTGGAAATCCAGTTTCAGTACATGTTGTTCCACATGTGCAAGTGATTTTCAGGCTCCATTTAGTATCCTAGGCTGTTACTGTGTAACCTTCCCAAACAATGGCCTAGACCAATATTTTATTATGTTATAGATTACTAGTCCAATAGATTATTATGTTATAGACTAAGTTCTGAAATAAGACAGGAGGTTTATGGCTTAAAATACAGACATTGAAGAAGGTTTGTTTGTTTGTTTCTTCCTGTACCAGGGTTTATTCTAATTCTGCAGCCTGAAACAGAGCACTCCGTAAGTTTACACGAGGATGAATTGGTTTAAAACATTTGCTCCTTACAACTTTTTTTTTCAACTCTTGGTCTGCCAAATTGACAGGAAAACAACATTTCCTTCCATCGAGGCAGGGCAATACTAGGAGAGAAAATAGGAAACTGACATCCAAAAATAATCTGATGTGAGTTAGGAAGAATGCCTTTTGCTAGCGACATGGAAAACGACATCATGCCATGGGCACAGGAGTTTGATTGTCCAAAGATAATGAGGTGGCATCATATGCAATGATGGATTTGTGCACCGTGCTACTATTCCAATGCCTAATTTGTGACCCCAGCTCCCAAATCCCAAAAAGTTTAATGACATGAAGAAATCTGACACAGCTTCCCTCCCTGCCCCCAGTTTTCAGGGGAGGAGGGAGGATGGAAAACAGTGGTTGTACTCTTTCACATTGCATTGGATAGAAAATAATATTTGGCAAAAAGTCAAACAAAATATCAACCTAAAGAGCAAAAGTCTACTTCAAATGTTTGGGTAGTCATACTACAAACCAAAAGACTCCATTATGATTCTGAGGAAGCTACTTTATACATACATTCATAGCATGTCCATTAAATTCAGAGGATGTATATCTGCAGGTAAAAAAGTTGTAACACCAATGATCCTATAGTACAATGAAATAAATACTTGTTTTCTTATATGGAAGTTTCAATGGCACACACAAAAAAAAAAAAGGAAAAGAAAAATGTCACACTGCTACGTATTTACAAAAAATCTATTTTCATACCTACAACTATTATGAAAGAAGCTATGATGCCCTAAAACCAGGCAGAAGAAAAGAAAACAGTTTTTATTTTAATGAAAGGAATATGCTTTTAAGTGGATAAAAGACTCTGGCTTCAATCCAGCTCAGCTGATCATTTTGGTACAATATGAAAGAACAGAAGTGCTCTAGGTAGATAAACCAAAAAAAATGTACACATACTATGTAAATGGGTAAAGGGACTTTCTTAAAGGCAGTCACTGAATAGAAAGTAGGAAACAGCCCTATATCAGAAGCATCAATTCAGTATCGCCTTTCAAATCTTTTATTTTTCTTCCCCTCGGTAATTCTAAAAAGAAAGGAAAAAAAAAAAAATCTGAATCTGTGAAACATCAATAAAACAAGATCTAACAATTGCTCTCCAGAGCAACAGCACCTTGGAGAGCAAGTCACCCTTCTATTAAACCAGGCAGGGGGAAAAAAAGGAAATTGAACAAGAGCTCAGTTTCATATATGCGTACTATTTCCACTGAAATTAAGAGCAATCACCTGTCCAGAAAAAGGTTAAACATGTCCTCCTCTTACATGTATCTAACAAGTTTAAAAGGGACATATGAGCAAATCTCAGTATAGTAAAGAAACATGAACAAACTTTACAGACAGTTAAGCAACCCCAAACTTGAGTTTCTTAAAATAAAAATGAAAAAAAAAAACCACCAAAAAATAAGTCTGCATATTAAGAAATAAATCAATAACTTAATCATGGGAACTTGAAAGGAATCATTGCAGTGAACAAGTTATTATACAATTATAATTTTTGACACTGGAAACTCAGAGCCTGATTATAATCTGAGTTTGACCTGATACTGAAATTCTTATATTTCCAATCATTTTCTACTGAAGTGCATTGCAGGATTGACTATTTGAAATTGCCAATACTCAAAGAAAAAGAAAATGCAAATTACACACAAAAGAACTCTTTAAATGAAAACATCTAACATGTTCTTCATTCCCAGCTACAAATCAAAACACATTACAGGATTTACTAGCAAAAGAGGAATAAAAAAAGGAGTAGCAAATATAAGAAGGATTTTCACTTGAAACAGTTATCAAGGAGGAGGAGAAAAGAAACTGAAGTACTACTTGGTAATAAATTCTTACCCTGAACACACACAATGTAATCCATCAGGATAAACTGCATAGTGTCAATATATTGAAGGCATATACTGAACCAACCTCAAAACATGTTAGGACATACCAGAGTTTATACAGTACTCACAAGGAATTAGTGGATTTTTTTCCTGAACTTCAAAATATACAAAAATATTTGAGCTACCGAGACTGAGATACCACTGACCTAAACACCTGCCTTCTTTCTTTAAATGTGCCTATCTGCCTTCACATTCCTAATGCAGGCTGTACCCCCACAAGCTGACGACGACTGTCACACTGCAAACTTTTTGTGACACAGATACCCTTTCTGATAGTTTACTTTGGAACAGTCCCTACCATTGGTTTTGTTCTGATCCGGAAATGAAATAATACACTCTGAAAATAGAGAAGGTCTTTGAAATATTCTGGACAAGAACACAATTACAAAAACCCATGATGAACACTACTATCTACTATCAAGCCACAAGTAAAGGACAACTACCTTAAAAAGCTAACATTTCTCCAAAGTAAAAAAGACATCATCACCTAATACTGCATTTCTCTTCCTCAGTATGAGAAATATGCATGACATCAGTCCAGATTTTTCAAGGCATTAGGACTGGTGCATGCCATGGTCTCAAGTGACTATCTAAAAAAATGCAGCTGGAGGGCTGGAAGGACTTTTTAGTGCAACAAACTATTACATTACAAAGAAGATGTAAAACAAGACTTTGAAAGGGAAATTTCCTTATCAGAATTTCTGTTTACATGAAACAGAGTCACGTACAAAGTCAAAGCACTGCATTGCATGGCTGAATCAAGCACCAGCAACGTAATCAGCATGATATCAAATGAGCAATAGGGTAGCTTTAAGAAACCAGAAAGACTCTGCATCCTGAAGCTTACTGATTGTCTGGCTGAGGAGGACGTTGAAACAGCAGATAAAGCTGATGTATTTGTTGTAAACTTTCCAGCACTCAAACTTTATTTGTCTGAGTGTGATACTCCCCTCTGTGGGTGGAGAAGCAGAGGGACTGGCTGACGTCATCCGAAGGGATAAAGTGCAGTGCCCACAGCTTTGGAATGAGTAAAACTTCTTAAGAGGTATAAAAGGTCGGCTGCCCTGTACGCAGGTGCTCTGCTGACAGCAACCTTCCTCCTACAGCTCGGCTCCTCACAAAGACCTAAGGAAAAAAGAAGAGTAACCAAGAAAAAACTGTCCACAATGCCACAAAACGTTATTCTCCAAGGACCGTCACCCTGGGGATTCAGGCTCTCAGGAGGAATAGATTTTAATCAACCCTTAATCATAACCAGGGTATGTACTCTTTCCATTTCCTTTCTATTAATTCCATTTAATAGTTGCTGTAGATTTTTGCCCTTTTCTGGAGTTCAGACAAAACTGTGAGTAGATTAACGAGTGGCTGCTAATTCTGAAGAGAGCCAGCTGAAATGCTAGCAGTTTTTACAAGTTTTGTGTGACAGGCTTCTGTAATTCGCCTAAGATACTTTAACTGCACTTCTACTTATGCCTCAAAAATTAAATTCAAGTGCCTTGGCAGCAGAAAAAGGTTGGCATGATTTCCCAGGCATTCAAAGCTGTGTAAAGACAAGACCTCACTTTTATCCTTTTCACGACTAGCCTTTCAGATCACTGGAGGTGAAGACTGCTTGGCAGCAGCTCCTCGTGTCTGGAAGTTTGTGCTTTCCAAATTAATCTGACTCTTATCTAATTAAATCAAGTTCTGATTATTGCCAGCAAAGGTAACAGCACCTGTTTTTACATATGTGAAGGTTTTCACTTCCATAAACATTAAATCAGTGAATTATGAGAAAGTTGCCCAGTCCTGAATATGAAAGAGGTAATTATTTGGTGTTTTCTGTCATATTTAGAAAATGAAAGTTTACCTACCTCTCTCACTCCCCCCCCAGTTAAGAGCAAGAATCTGAGCCTTCATTTTTTTCATGGATTTCAATATATTAACTAATATCTCAAATTTAAGAAACCAGTTACTCAATGAATGTAGCATACAACACACTGTCAGCTGCCCTGCATCTACAGACATGGATCTACTCAAAAGACAGGATACATATTTTGATAATTTTGAAAATTGTGTTCAGTGCACATCAGACCAGAATTAGTTCTCCCTATATTTTTGCTGCTTTTCAGGACCTTAGACACACCAAGTATGTGTTCCATGAGCATCCAAATTGCTATTTTTTTTTTTTAAATAAATCCCTGCACTATGACTCACTATATACACTATGCCTGGTATTGAGCAAGTGTCAAGAACCTTGAAGATGGATGGATACTACTGGTGATGCCTTGCAGTAAAAATGCTTCCAAACAATAGTCTGTAGAAAGTTTAAGGATCAACTTCTCACATATTAACTAGTAAAAATTTATAAATCTGGAATAAATGATTAAATTAAGTTAAAGCATAAAACATTTTATGTATTTTGAACAGAAGTAAATCAGAATGCTATTATATTTGACTGAATGTAGTTACATGAAAAATACTCATAGGACATAGCAAAGCCTTTGGAGAAAAATGAGATAAAAACATTAATTAATAAAAAAAAAATCTCTGAATGTTTTGAGGCCTTCATTGCCTTTTATGGTCCTCTAAAAGAAAAATAGTTTCCATTATCTCCAATGAAAAATATTTTAGCTGTGTCTGGTTTGTATTTTCTTTGTGTTTAGATTAAGTACAATGAAGTTTAAAACTGCAATAACAAAGGATGTTACTATAAATGTCACTTTTTAAGGAATAAATTACTTTGCAGTTGACTCATACCTACCAAATGCCTTACAAGACAAAAGCCATTGGTTTCTGGCATACTACAGAAATGTTCAAAATCACATTTCAAGTAGAACAATGAAATTATGTATAGGAAAAAACCGACATGGTTAAGTTTGCTTAGCTCAAATTCAAGTATATCAATGTTTAAATTTAAATGTTTAAAATTAATATTTTTGTTGCCACAGCATACATTTAAAAGAGTGCCTAAATAAGTATTCATACAATACCCCTTAAGAAATAGAGAACATTTCATAAGATTCGTAAGTCTTGCTTCTTGGGGCAATTAAAAATATTTGCCATTAAACAATAAATAGAAATTATTTTCAAATACATTTTGAATAAAATAATTGGACAGGTGTTATGTTTGGTTGGCTATAGTCCTTGTTCAACAAGGAAAGCTTTTAGCAGGACTTGTCGAGAGAGACAGACAACATAAGAGACTATCCACCTGTCTAAAGAACAGATGTCACCTCAATAGCTCATCTGCAAATTGTTCTGCTGTTTTGACTGTTTCAAGCAAATGCAAAAACCACAGACCATGATCACCTGGAAAGAGAAAGAACAAGAGGGGACTATAATAGACATATTTAAATTCTATTATGGTCAGAAACAACAAATGAACTAAGAATAGTGGAAACATTTATTGAAATACTTGGAACTTTGCACAGATGCAAAGAAATTGCATTATTGAAACTGATCAAAACCTTAGCTTAATCAAACTGAATAGTTTTGGTTTATTCTAACCAGAATAATGTAACATTTTGGGTTAAGCATTTAGAAGAATGTAATCCCAGAATTTAAGTTCTATTGAATAAAGCATTGCAAGAACAACTCAGACTTTTAAAGTTTGGAGGGAATGGTGAAATATTATCAACTCTAGATTTAAGTTCTATTTTAAAATAGACCTTTACCAATCACAATGCTAGTATTCATATTAACTCAATTTTATATTTATTCGCTCTGCAGACATTCATAGCTCTCTTCAGAAAACACAAAGCCTGAAAATTTATGATGCTGTAACATGTTAAGCTTTGCAAATCTATTATCAGATGCAGAAAGGTTGTCTTCAGTTTCGTAGGAGACATTGACCCATATGTGGTGAAATAGTCTGTGACAACATCTGAATGATCAATACATATCCTTATACATATCCAAATCCAAGCTACCTAAGATACAGGAGTAACAGGCATGCCATACAGGCATGTCCTGAAGAGCAAGACAAAAATTTTCCCAAAGCAACAGTAGAATCTACCTCACCTGCCCAGGTGAGCAAGCAACAAATACTAGTCATAACAGAGTTCTAAGTGTTCACAACACACACTTAATATGTAACTAACAAGCCCTTAAGAAACAACAACACTTACGTTATTGAGGTACCCACAATATCAATATTATACCCATGATATGGTGGAATCTTGCAATGAATAACACGGCCTCTGTCTATAAAATGTAGGCCACTGTACTTTTGTCAGTCCCGCTTCCCTATGAGCAACAGTCAAGATTTCCCCCCCTCAACATATTGAGTGACACCCAGCCATATTCCTCCTGCTCAATTCTAGCAGCAGAACACTGGCTCTTTCTGCCAAATCCGGGAAGATCAGATGAGGGAAAAGATTATATGAGGGCAGGTAGCTCTGCACGCAGGCAGACTTGGGCACGTAATGCTCAGCACCCCCATCAAGGTGTTAAGGCCCAAGAGACACAATTCAGCCAAATAATAGGAAATACAGACTCCTGGCCCTTTTCCTCCTTGCTCCCACCAACTGGCAATCCCATTCAAACATATAAATGGTATATATGCAGCTAGTGACAACTTATAAGATCCAGGGGATTTACCATCAACGCAGAGTAGGTTAGGTCCTACTAGCAGCACAGCTGCTACAGATATGCTGCTTTATAAGGCAGGATCATTATCTCAGTACATTGCTGCAGTGTGTCACAGATACAGCAGATGATTTGTTGTGACATGTAAAAAGCATAATCTACTGAGTAACCTATATAAGGGTTATACAAGTTACCTTACCCTTGAGAGGGAACCAAGAACGGCTGGGTTTGCCCATTTTGGGTATTAGAGCATCAACAGTCACATTGGAACACTAGGAATTCCGCTGCAGTTTGTCATTGCAGACATTTTCACAACATGCCAAGCAAAGTCAGGAACAATTCCCAGTGTAAAGGAGAAGCATGATCGTTCTTCTAAATCCCCTGCCTTATTACAGTGATGTAAGGGGTCTCGATGCCGTTCATTTACACTTACAGCTGTTGAAGTTTGAGAAACAGACAATTTTGGAGATTTCAGACTTAGAATTTATAAGCAACTTCCTTGATTCATATTCAAACAAATTATTCAGGCACCTTAACACTTTGTTAAGCCCACAATACATTAGTCCATTCTTTTGAAGGGTGAGGGTGGAAAAGCTTCCAGCTGGCCACAAATACCCATTTGGAAAGTCTGCCTTGACTTGATAATAACATATGCATTGCAGTTTGTTACAGTGACATCAAAAATAAGTTTACGTGCTGGAATGCAGAAAAAAAGCCCACAAAGCAAACTCTCATCAAAAAGAATGTTTCTACTTGGCTTTTATGTTGATAGTACTGTCACCTTCAGAGACAAGTCTGCCAGCTTCACCAAAGCTGGGGTTCAGAACATGCTGGAGGTACACTGGGCAGCTTAATCTCCTCATTTCCTGGAAAATTGTGAAACACCAGAACTACAGAATGTCTCCACAGCATGTTTACCAGTCCTCCTTAATCGCTTTTAATAATCGGGATAACACTTACTTTTGCTGTAGCAGAACCTACAGTGAGAAAAATTCTCTCCAATAGCTTTTTTACTTAATATGTGCCACAGATAAAAGAACTGCTCTTGTAAGTCACACTATGTTGACATTTTTGTCCTTCACACTGGGATTCATTTACTTACAAATAAGCAACTAATGTTACTTTGGATGAATCGGTCTGTCCCCTTTGTTCTGCTATTTCAGAAGAGTTACGTGCTACATCCATCAATTTCATGTTGTTGTCTAGATAATCAAAAGTCACCTAAAATGGCAATACACAACTAAGGGACCTAAATCCCACTCAGTGACCTAAGACCTGTTGTGTATGTGGTATGTGTAAGTGTTGTGGTGGTATGAGAAGTCCCCTTTCGCACATAGAGACCTGCAATTCTAGAACAAGTTTCAGTAATGTCTAAGGTCATAGCCTCTCTACAAGAGTTATTTTAAAGCAAAATTATGTTGCATTTCAATTATTTTAACAGTCATGTAGAAGATTATCAAGTAGATTAAAAAAAAAAGGCAAGCATAGAAAGATAAGCTGAGGGCTATTTCTACGAATGGTGGTACATTTACATAAGATATGAATTGCACCACATGGATCACCCTGGAGGATCAGGGACACTGTTACTTAAATGCAATGGGACTGAAAGATAAGCACTTTAAGGAGTTCAGGGTCTGAATTAGACATCAATAAAGAGAAAAATATTATTTTAGTATTATTAACATATTTCTGATTATTTGGCAATACAACATGAAAGGCCAGGCTAACAGAAACCGTGAACTGCTGTACTTGTCTTAAACATTGCTTTCTATATTATTCAGTCCAATGGCACATCATACCCATGAACTTTAAGTAACACAATTTCTTAACGGCTCTTTTCTTCTGCTAGTGGTGTTAAGGGGAAAATATAACTTTTTTTTTTCAAGCAAGTTATATATGGCAGTTAAGAAAGAAGATTCAAAGATGAGTTACAGTAACTACAGAAGTCAGAGTGGAAACTTATGCAGAAGTGTAAAGATAATTTCCATCTAATTTGAAGTTATGATAAATAAAACATTTATTTGATGATCTTTCAAAAGAACTACAGAGGGTCTGGCAAAATTAAGAATTCACTTTCTTTGTAGGCAATCATATAGTTGTTTACAGGCCCACTCCCTGCCTCCCTCATCCAACAGAAAATAGGGAAGCATGGTGAAGTTTATTTTCTCTATCAATTTTCAGGCATGCCTGGTGATTAAGCAGTTACATTTTGGTCTTTTCAGATTACACCTGGAAGCAAGGCTTCAGCCGCCAACCTGTGCCCTGGTGACGTTATTATAGCTATTGATGGTCTAGGCACAGAGAACATGACACATAATGATGCCCAGGAGAGAATTAAAGCAGCTACACATCAGCTTTGTTTGAAAATAGAGAGGTATGTGTACATGTCTGCTTATTTCTGAAAGAATATACTATTCAACCAACTGATTATACATTACAATTATTATATGGTGTAACTATTTAAAATAGTTTGAAGAATTTCATTATGTCTTTAAAATTACAAGCAACCAGACCCACCCCACAAGCTCCAGGCCAAGCAAGACTCCCCAGAACTCATCTTCATAGGTACAAAAAAAATTGTTTCTCTCAGGTTACTTGCCACATGACTCTGCTGACTCCATAAATCCTATGTTAACCATCAGTAAGCAAGCAGTTCCTCATGTTTTGGGGAAATAATAAAACCCTCATCTAGCTGTCACTTGTTCAGTGACCACTCTACTCCAATATTTCCTCAGCTGCAGGTGCTTATCATTGCCTCCTGCTCCCAAGCACAGACAAAGTTGCTAGTATATCCTCCCAGTTAGGGAAAACATCACGTCAGGCATTCATAAAGGGTGACAAAAGAGCAAGTTTAAAGCAAATCCTTTTGGTCACAACATATTAAGCCAGATACAGGATTCGCAAATCAACATTCCAAACAAAACTAAGAAACACTCTCCTACCTAAACTGCAGGAGTCCAGAAACTTTTGTGTTCATTTCTCTCAGCTAGAGCCAGGAAGAGAAACAACCTGCAGCTTCACATCTCCAGCTGAGTTTGCTCAGCCTTTAATCAGAATCATTTAGCACACTCTTTCAGCTCTCTCCAAAATTAGGATGGCCCTGATTGACCTGAGGCCTTCAAGGAAGCACAGCTCTTTATTACAGCTGAGCACAATATTTGTATCCAACTACAGAAGGTGGAGTTGTTTTTGAAAGGATCATTGTCTAATTACTAGAGCACACACTATGGTTAAAAACTCCCACAGCTAATTCCAGGTTCTGTTACAGACTGATATATGCCATTTAACAACTATCTTGGGAAGCCATTTTCAAGATGTGATAAGTGTATATATAACAAACAGTACTAGATTAGTATTTAACATTACTATTATGCTACTATAAAATTAGTTGCCATATTTCACTTTGTCAGTGAAAACAGAATTGTAACTGGTATTTTTGTGTTTGTTGTCCCTGCCTACATGACTGAAAGAATCTTCTGTGCCACTTTGATTTACACTTGCCTATACTTTGCATACTTAGATTGCACTTCTACATTTAAAAGCAGGCTTTGCATGGATATTGTTATCACCAAAAAAAATTGAAGTTCCTGGTTTAGGATTATTGCTATCATATTCACTTACTTGTGCAAAATATTCTGAGGACCCAACATTCATTCTATCAACCATTAAAAAAGTAAAATTTTTAAAAGTTTGGTCAGCTCAGGTCAGAAAGGCAGTACTTTCCCTTTCCCTTTGTATTTGGAAACTATTAACAATTTGCTTCCCATTGTTCATAGCATACATAATTTTTAAAAAAGTAAATACTCTTTATATATATTGATTACATATCATCAAAGTTTTTTTACATCAAAACAATAAAAAAGCATAGAAAAACCTGCACATTTCCAAGCTGCATTATATTTCATAGGGACATATATAACCCTATGGGAATTCAAAATATTTAAATTCTACATTTCTCTCTTTCTAGGGCAGGAACTAAATTATGGTCCCCACAAGTTTCAGAAGATGGCAAAGCACATCCCTTCAAGATAAATTTGGAAGCTGAACCACAGGTATGAATTGTGAAAAGTTACCTAACCATTTCCATTTGCCATTTTACATTATAAATTATCTCCCTTGTGGTCATTAAAATAGAACTTCATCCATTATCTGCCAGTTTAAGCTAATACAGACCACCATGAATATGACATATGTGAACACCATTATATCTGACAGAATGTTTTTGATTTTTCAGCTATAACTGAAACAAAACATTAACAATCTACAATACATTATCATATTTCTTTAAGACTGTACTTATCACCATCATTCTATTATGGAAATAAAATATGTTCTTTTATTCTGATACAGTTTAAGTTGCTTTAACTCTTTTAGAGATTCTTCATCATTTGAGGAAATGCTTCAATCAGAAATAAATGCCAAGTACCTAAGCGATGAACTCATCAGACCACATAATTCAATTTGATGTAATGGTTAAATAGAGAGATCCATTAATGCTGGATCTCTTTATTTCCATACATTTTTATACTATACCAGAGAACTGAAGTTTATGAATCTGTACAAGATCCATGTACAGGTCTTGTACAAGCAAATTCACCACTTCTGACCAACAAAGTCTTGATCCTTGTATATGACCAAAGGAAATCCACTCAATTGACATCCTCCTCTCTCTTCAAGCTCAAAAAGAAGAGCTACTATGAGTCAGAGTCCCTGTACCATTAATAGCTAATTAGCTAGCTACTGCCTACACCTAGTCCTTTATTTATTTGTCATTCCTTTTTAACATACATGAACATCTGGTGTTCTCCCAAGAGGGGGGAGGGAAGAGCATTCTGCTTATCCTAAAACTCCAGGTTCAAAGCAAGTATGTCAAAGTATTTATTCTGTGTTATCCTAGAAAATGTAAGTGCAGACTCCATATCAATAAATCCTGTGCAATAAGTAGTCCCACCAATCCAAAGTTTTCCCAGAGACGCTTCCAAACATGGCATTTCAGTGTTTCATTTCTCTCTCTTCTTTCCAATCTAAAAACTTGCATTAAATGATACAGCAAACTTATTCAGAAATAACATAGTCTCTTCAGCAGCAGGAGATACTATAATGAAGAAACAAAACTATTTTAAATCCCTATTTTTGTGGAATAGTAGGATACACATTAAATGAATAGCAATGGAACAAATTCTAAAAAAATGGAACAAATAGGTAAAAAAGCTATAGAGAAAACCATGCAGGCATGTATGACAGAAGAGTAATCCCTCTGCATGAAAGCTGCATTCCTAAAAAGGACAGTTACTTTAAAATAGATCACAAGATTTCACTGAGTGCTACTTGGCAGACTATTGAAAAGCAGTTTCCATTCGGCAATTAGAAAAACTGTTTCTCCTAGATTAAAACCAGCCTTTTCATTTTAGTATATCTCTCTTTCCTTCCTAGAAAAATCAGGAGCACTGAGTATATTTAATAAATAGTATGCACCAGACAAGTAGAAATGCTTGCAAGCAAATATGCTATACCATTCCTGGGATGATTTCCATTTTAGATTAAATTCTTCCATCCAAGAGCATCCATCACTCTGACCTCCCTGTGGAAAAAAAATAAATATAGCCTTTTGTTCTACAATTGCTGTAATTTTAAATTAAATTTTATCACATATTTAGTCACAACAGGAGTCCCAGCAGCACTGTATATCAGTAAGGAAAACATACAAAGTTTCTTTAATTCCAGATGACAAATATTTGCACAACCTGTGCTGTCTAGGTCATGTAAGAGCAAAGCCTTTGACACCTTCTCCATAACATACTCCTGGAAAAGCTGCAGCCCATGGCTTGGACAGGGGCACTCTCTGCTGGGTTAAGAACTGGCTGGAGGACCAGGCCCAGAGAGTGGTGGTGAACGGGGCTGCATCCAGTTGGCAGCCGGTCACTAGTGGTGTCCCCCAGGGATCAATGTTGGGCCCAGTCCATTTAATATCTTCACTGATGATCTGGATGAGGGGATCGAGTCTTACATTAGCAAATTTGCAGATGACACCAAGTTGGAGGGAGTGTGTATCTGCTGGAGGGTAGGAGGGCTCTACAGAGGGACCTGGACAGGCTGGACATATGGGCTGAATCCAACGGGATGAGGTTCAACAAGGCCAAGTACCGGGTCCTGCACTTCGGCCATGACACCCCCTGCAGTGCTACAGGCTGGGGACAGAGTGGCTGGAGAGTGACCAGGCAGAAAGGGACCTGGGGGTTCTAATCAACAGAAGGCTGAGCATGAGCCAGCAGTGTGCCCAGGCTGCCAAGAAGGCCAATGGCATCCTGGCCTGTAGCAGGAACAGTGTGGCCAACAGGTCCAGGGAAGTGATTCTGCCTCTGTATTCGGCACTAGTGAAGACACACATTGAGTACTGTGTCCAGTTCTGGGCCCTTCAGTTTAGGAAGGATGTTGAGGTGCTGGAGCAGGTCCAGAGAAGAACAACAAGTGAAGAGCCTGGAGCACAAGTCCTATGAGGAGCAGCTGAGGGAGCTGGGATTGTTTAGCCTGGAGTGTAGGAGGTTCAGGGGAGACCTCATCACTCTCTACAACTCCCTGTAAGGAGGCTGTAGGTGGACGGGGGTCGGTCTCTTTTCCCAGACAACCAGCAATAGGGCAAGAGGACACGGTCTTAAGCTGTGCCGGGGGAGATTTATGTTGGGCATTAGGAAGAAGTTCTTCACAGAAAGCGTGATTGGGCATTGGAATGAGCTGCCCAGGGAGGTGGTGAAGTCACCATCCCTAGAGGTGCTTAGGAAAAGACTGGATGTGGCACTTAGTGCCATGGTCTAGTTGACAAGGTCATAGGTTGAATCCAACCTAGTTGATTCTGTGATTCTGTGACTGATGTACGGAAATGGAAAACCACTGAATTACATTTCCTCCATTTCTATAAAAATTAAAATTGCTCAAAAGGTCATATATCTTATAAATGTAATCAGATCTTTTTAACTCTTGCCAGATAGACATTTTAAAATTCACCAAGAAAGTTAAGAGATGTCAGTCATTTAAAATGCATTATAAGCCAACTAAATAGCAAAACCAGATGAAGACTTAACCAATATTCTTAATAAGTATCTAGTTTCTGTTTGTAGGCTAATAAAAGATAGTTAAAATGAGTGTAAAACCTATTTTAAATTTTTCAGCAATTTGGCCAACTATTTGGCCAAAGAACACTTACTGTATCTTCAGTGGATGAAAATTTTTCTACAGATGCTTGGAGATGGTTTTGTGAAAACTGATAAACAACTAAAAATTGTTCCTACTTACAGCTATGGAACAAGGAACCTTTATACAGTAGCAAACTTCTGTATCATGCTGAACATCTCCGAAGAGTCATTTGGAGACTGACAGAGGCAATTGTCAGAGCCCAATGAAAGCTCTCACTATTTTTAAACCCTTGGAAGAGGAAACTGAGGCAACAATTCCAACTTACAGCAATAAGTGGCTGACTGAAAGTGACTCTTGAAAGCTACACGTTCCCACATAAAAAACAGCCACATTAACTTTGTTAGTCTGGAGCAACCTATAGTGTGATGGATAAATAATAGGAAATAACAGACCACTTGAAGAATTACTAATACAATCACATTGTATTCTGTATAAAAGTGACTTAGTACATGCAGTTCTCAATGAATATAATTAGAAATATAATCTTTCACAAATGGCAAATTATAAAATTATTTTTAAAATCCTTTCTGCTATATTGTCAATGTAAAATAACATGATGACCTGTAAATGTTTTCTGTTACAATCCCTTTAACCTGATTGAAAATTATTTTATATCCCTTACCACAATATCTTGAATTGTTTTTATTTGAGCTTTTCTCATTTGCATCTATCTTTGCCTTTGAACATTTTATTCAGTGAGATTAGACTTCTGGCCCTGAAGGACATTATACATTCCTGTGAGACACACTATGCATATAGATAAAAATCTAAGAAAAATACAAGCCACTCTTCTAAAAAGTAACTTTATAGTCTATTACCACTGAAAATCAACTTTTGAAACAATATAATTGTCCTAGCTAGTTTTGAGGACCTACCCCCTCTTTTTAACAGGATTTAAAAGATCAAGGTTTTAGCCACATGATACCTCCAAAATGTACACATTTGTGTTCTGTCACAGCAATTACCCCAATGAATGCCATCATATGGTCTGTGTTGGATGCCTTTCTACAGACTTTGGGAGCTACATTAATTCTATTCCTGATACCTATATCAATGCAAAAATGTAGCTAACCCTGCAAAAAGGACATCAGTCAGTTGGAAAAAAATTTAAGAAATTAAGTACCGTAAATCTCAAACACTCCTGATTAGGAATTTCAACAACTTTCAGTTCTCATTTAGCTTTTGAACTAAAAGAGGACTTTTTGCAGATTCAATGAGATATAGTAAACACAAGAGCTGGACTATTTTTGCTGCTGTATGTTCTGTCACTGACCTTTTATGTGATTAGATGAGCTATTAAGAAAACAGTATGTAAGTCTGACTAACTGCAAATACTTGTTTCACAACTGTTACATTGTTAATATGCTATTATGGTACCTCATCTTCTATTCATTTCTCAATAGGAAATGAAAAAGGGGGATGAAATTACAATGTTCTCAGTCGGTTTTGTTCATTTTGAATCATATACGGATTTAAATCAATTTTAAATGCTTTGACATTAATATCTTTCATTAAGTACCCATGATCCTAAACACTATTAGATTATTTCCATTTACTAATACATTTTGTTAACTGCAACTCAGTTCTATCAGACAGAAAGAAGGAATTGCCAGTAAAATCTTTGTGGTCATTTATCTGATTGCTGCTTTCAGTAGCCTCTTACAGTGCAATGCTGCTAAACATTTTCATTTAATAAAACTGCTTTTTACTGTTTGCATTTTCTGGTTGCACATTCTATATATCCATGACTTTTCCTTATTCTGATCCTAAATATATTTCTGAAACTGCTGTACAACAATCACACTCAAAACCAAAGCCAAATCAGAGAACCAGCAGAGATTTCAATGGAAATTGAAGTATTAATGACCTGAGCTATCTTAACATTGCAAGGTCCAGAAAATATCAGTTCAGGTTGTAGACACCTATTTGTTAGTAACAAAAGCTTTTTATTCCATATGCATGGAAGTTCAAGTGATCTCACAGCACTGTTTCCAAAGAGTACTGCAGGACATCAGGGCCACAGCAGCTGGATAGACTGCAGCAGCTAATGTTCTTCACCCACTAAGGTAGTATGAAAATAACCTCTTAGCAGATGACAAGGCTAACTTTTTCGAAGTCTACTTCTGAGGCTTAGGGGTGGACCTGAGCTGAAAGGGACTCAAAAGAGACTGTACTAAATATGCACAATACAAATAAGTGAATTTTCACACAGTCGGTAGCCTTTATCATTCCTGGCCAACCACTACAGAAGAAGATTTTAAGTATCTGAAAGGTCATCAGAGATTTTACTTCCAGATCTTATCCCTTATGGATTCCACAACTGAAGTAAATTATCCTGGCCAACAATTAAAAAAAAAATAGTACTCCAGAAATAAACAAACATAGGAAGAATGATTTCAAATTTATCCATTTCTGGGTTTTACTTATTTATGATGATTTCACATTATGTTTAAATTATACCAGCATCACAATTTTTGATGCACGAGTACACTTCAAAGATGAAATTTGTTCAGAAAAACATTCTCAATCTGAGGTACGTTCAAGACTATTTCTGTTAAAAGAAGTGTTTAAAATCATGTGTTTTCTAGGCAAGACACTTACAATAAAAGTCCTACTTTTGGGAATCCCTCTATCAGTATGTGATGAAAATGCAGAATCTAGAGATTAGCACTAAAGCAAAGCAGTCAAGCTAACTGTCCATGAAATGTTTCTGACAGAATGTAAACAGTGAAAAATCTCAAGAACAATACGAAAAGTCACTATAATATTCATTCCTCCCATTTATTCTAAGCCTTCTGTTTGCCCAGAGGCAGGAAAATAATGCGTATAGCTTAAGTAGCATACAAAATTCATGGAAAAATATAGGATGCTTGCACCAGTTAAAAAATAACAGAGTTGCAAAAGTAAAAAATGCAGATTAACAATACGTGTGTTGTCAGTTTTACTCATTACTAGCTTTGGTGTGCATTGTAGCTCTGTGTGTTTTGTCTGCCTATCATGTACAGGAATTCAAGCCTATTGGTACAGCTCACAACAGAAGGGCCCAGCCTTTTGTTGCAGCAGCAAATATTGATGACAAAAGACAGGTAGTGAGCTCCTCCTATAATTCTCCAATTGGGCTCTATTCATCTGGCAATATTCAAGACGCGCTTCATGGACAACTGAGGGGTCTCATTCCTAACTCATCACAAAAGTGAGTACTAATATTTACTTATAATACATGGTCATTTGTGGTATTTCATTATCTGTTCCATTTTCATTTAAAAGTCCAGCTCTTGCTGTTTTTTCTGGGAATCAGGAGTTTATTCATTAATTTAAAAAGTGGTGATCAGTAAAACAATTTTTTCCAACACAGAGAACTATCCATTCAGCTCTGTTGTAGCACTGTTTGCAGGTAGCCAGCATTTGGACTCTACGTTGAGCTGCAACACTACCCTCTGACCTTCCCTCTTGTAACTGCACTTTACTCTGAATGTTCCTGAACACTACAGCGTTTGCATTTTGAGTACCAGGAATGAACAAACGAAACACGGCTATTTCATGGTTAAACCTTTAAAACATTTTTAGCTTCATTTTAACTAGAAATCAGCATTTGTAGGCCAAAGAAAGTTATTTTAACCCTTTTTTCTTTACAGGATATGAACTACTTCGAACACAAGCATAATATTCGGCCCAAACCTTTCATAATCTCAGGCCGAAGCAGGTTAAAAACTTTGAGTGCTGTGCTGGATTTGATGCATGGTGTTATTTTTTTTAACGGATGGATACTCACCACTGACATTAATAAAGCATACAGAAACTTTTGAAATTTACTTATAGTACTAGATAACCTAATACCAAAACTAAAAACAAACAGACAAAAAAAAATGAAATGGTTGACTCACAGAGCTCAGGCTTAGCATTCAAATTTCTATTTCCAAAAGAAAGCGGGTCTACACTTCCATCTCAGTTATACTGATAAGAGTCTGAAATAACTGTATCCATGAACCTGATTCAGTTTACAGCATAGCACCAGATATTGTATATTTACAGATCTTTGGCACTGTGAACTTTTTCTGTCCAAATGCAAATACATATAATTTGTTAGCTTGCTAAACAAAAGATAGCTACTTATACAGATTATAATCTAGGCCATTCAGAGATTTTAAATTTGCATTTCAGCACATCTCTTTCCAGAAAACAATCTAATGCTGAGCTAAAATAGGAAAACTGATGTTACAGACACGTAAAACTCCAATGCAGAAAATCTTACACATTTACATCCATCATTTTGATGTAAAAATCCTCTGTCATAACTGGTGATGAAATTTCCCACTATTGTTTACATTATTAAATACAGAGGAGGAAAAGCCAATTCAAACTGTGTGGCTAAAAGCACAAGGAAGCTCATAAGGGCATGAGGGCTGCAATATATTGCAACGTGACCCTTTATCCTTGCTAGCAATAGCAGTTTTTACTAGTGGAAATAGTGTTCTACCTTTAATTCTGAAAAATTATAATGCCCGCATTTTAATTATACTAATTTAAGTCTGACAAACTACACCAGAAGAATAGGATGACAAATGATTCCAGTGTACAAAGGGCAATCTCATATTGATCATCAGTTTTGAGAGATGTCTTAAATTTTTCAGTTACCTGACTGTAGGAGATGGTCCCATCCTGCTAACAAGAACTATCAATGTAGAACACCATCACAGTGGAGAAAAGGTTCCCAAGGACAAAACAGTCCTTAGCAAACATCCATAGCTTCTCACTGCAGGTAGCGCTTACAGACTGTACCAAAACTGACTTTGGGAACACTAGGTCCCAAAAGGTTTTACATGTGCCTACTGGATTTATGAAAATTCAAATGAATGTATCAAGAGCCTAATCTCTTAATTCAGAAACCTCAATTACACACTGTTTTCCATGAAAATACTGAAGTAAACAGCCATTTTCCAGCATGTCAGATGAGGAAAATAAACTGCAAAAACTACCCTGACAGCGATGCAACAAGTTTCAGAACTGCAGTTGGGCAAGGTCTGTCAGCACTGGAGAGGTCTGCACTTGCAAACTGCAGAATCTCTGACACGGGATGTTCCATCTGTGAAACCTTGTTGTCACAACATTTGGGTGCTACTATTTCATCAGTTTGGCTCAATACATACCCACTGCTAAACACGCTTTTAGGACAGATAGCTGAGGCTAAGTAGGACTTTGATTAAAAGAAAACCTGACTGTGGACTGGGGTTTGAACTACTGGGTTGGACATTGGCCAAAATTTTGGACTTTATTCTGGCAAAACTAACTGGAGATTACATTTAATACATAACTATATTTTATTTATTATTTACCTATAATTTATCATGGTTTAACATTACTTTGGCTGCTCATAGCAAGAGCTGTGGTTTTCCTAGTCTTTTCCTGCTGCTTTCCATTTATTAACACTATCGGCACTGACAAAACTTACTCTACTGCAGGATCTAAAGGTGGTCCTGATTCTTCTAAAAGAAAATACTGTAAATTTGTATGTTGCCCTGTGTGGATTTTTTGGCTGGCTCATGCTAGGTGATGATGCACAATTACAGTTTGCTTTAAGGCTTGCCTACCATTTCTAGAATAAACTTTTTTTTTACTTGTCTTCGATAGTAAAGTGTGTATTTCCCTTTAAAATTTTAAGAAAGTGGTCCTGCACAACTTCCCCTCTGAATCAAAGGCAGAATTTTGGTTTGTCTTCTCCACCCGAGAGAAGCTACTGAGCAGAGTACTGTACTATCAAACTGGGAAATAGAGCATTCTTCCAGGTTTACACAGAATCATCAGCTCGGAAAAACTAACCACAACTCTGATAGGAAGGTTGGAGGATGTATTTGAAACATTTATTGTCTCACAGCTCCAAATATCACATAAATGATAACCAATGACTGTGTAAAAGCCTTGGTTACGTGCTGTTACATAGCAACAGCAAAGAAATACCCTGTAACAAACAAAGCCTCTGAGGTACTATGGAAAGAAGACTGAACTGTATAAAACAGTGACACTCAGAAAGACTTCAGGCCTAATGTCCACATTTTTTTTGCTAATATTTTTCCAGGAATGTTGAATTGCACAGTAACTTCACTTCAGTAATGTCAAGCAAAATTAATATTTCTAAAAATGTGCATCTTATTTTTTATACATAAATTAATTATAAAGTCTACTTCAAAAGTAGGAAAAAATAATTCTCTCAATACATGCCCATTGTTCTTGTGAAGGACCACTTTACATTTTACTGGAAACACTGTGATTTAGAAAAGCAAAAGTAAGCCTGGATGCTTTAGTATCTCTTCTTCTTTGTAATTATTAACAAATTATTTTTTTAATTATTAAACTACTTTAAAAATATTAATAAATATCTTATTGTAGAATTCAAGGAAATCTAAAAAATGCCACCCCCATTATTTTACACTAATTTATAGTAGTCTTTTCAGCTGTGGACTGAGATAGTTGTGAGGTATAGAACTGAAATGATGTGCCTGGGATTTCAGTGCTGCTGGTGTTTATTCTATCACTGCATGGACAACTCACACAACCTTTGTATGCTACCGTTTTATAGATGTTAAGAATTACTCACCTAGAACAAAGCATTTTAGGGAGCTTAATTAATTCTCGATAAAACCTAGCATTACAAATGTAAAGTGATATTATGTTCTGAATTATTCAATCTATCAATGGATTTTTACTATCTTTAAAGAGCACACGCATGCCAGAATTTCAAGGACTGCTTTATAACTGGCATTGATAATTTTTGCAGGAAAACTCTTTTCAATGACTACGCATACTTTTGCTTTTCTCTGCTTTCTATACTTCTGCTTTTCTGCGTCTGTTCCATTTATGCTTTTCAGGCCTGTTAACATCACTGTATTTCTGTACTTTTGTCTTTATTCTCTATAATCCAATGCACACTGCACACTCTTCTGTAATGTGCCTATTAACACAGCGGATGCAGCACTCCTTCAGGGATGGACTGTGGCAGTGGACGCAGTACCCCCTCTTCAATTAGCACGGTTAGCTCTATCTGCCCCACAGAGCTGAAAGCAGTGTCTAAGATGGCCCCTAACATTCCCTTGGAAATGGAGCTTCCTGGTGTCAAGATTGTACACGCTCAGTTTAACACACCTATGCAGTTGTACTCAGATGACAATATCATGGAAACACTGCAAGGCCAAGTTTCTACAGCTCTGGGGGAATCACCTGTCATAAGGTAATTAGAGCAGTATCTTTCATATTTATGAATATACAAATTAAAAATATGCCAAAAATCACAAGGTTTAATAATATCACTCTTTCTATGAAAAAGGGCGAAAGGGTTAGAAAGAAACTAAGTTCTTTAAAAACATACAATATTTTCATTAAAATATTAGTAATTTCTATTTTCTAACCCAAAGTATTAAAGGAGTCCTTCAGAATTTACAAATAAATATTTCATAGGTAATAATCTTTGAATTGTGGCTAATAAATAAAAACTGATTATACTACCTGGACTATTAGCTGGCTGACCACTCCAAATCAAGATTTTGATTCCCTCCAAAAATCAAAACTGTTTATTACTATTATAATTACTTATCTGATAACAATTTAATAATTTTCTCTTATTAATAAGTAATAAAATATAATTAAATAAAATTTATTTCAACTGTTTAATTTCAGGTTAGGAAGATTAGGAAATCTTAGATGTTTATAGTGTTCCAGATATTTAATTCTCATTCAGGACAACTCATTCAGTACAACTAGCTCTTGCACAAAAAGAGACAGAATTTACTGTAGGCCTACTAATCCATGTCTGACTTACGAATTTTATGCATTGCATGACTAAAAGTCAGGTAGGAACCTTATGTATATGGATAACAATTATGATTATAAAATACAAGGTTTAAGGCACTATTCATTTTTCCCAAGGGATCATTCACCAGTCACATTGCTTTATCTTTACTTTTGCATAATAGTAAATTATTTTTCTGTTTTACAATGGTACTTAAGTTAATAATTCATAATATGTATGGTGTAAACTAAAGCTAGTTACTAATATTTTAAATAAGCAATAATCATTGGCACCAATGAGCCTTCTTTCACACCTCGAAGAATTTGGCTGCTACTAACCAAAAAAAGCCATATTTATATAGAAGTATTTAAGTTCACCCTATCTGATGAAAATAAAACTATAGTTCATGAAGTCTTTGCAGAGTGAAGTTACTCTAGTGCCTGAATATTTATCCTCAATCAGAACAATTAGAGAACAATAAAAGAAAAATTTGCTGCTTTTTTATTCTGAAATAATGCATTAAACCCAAAGCAATCAGATTTCACACTACCTGTGACATTGACAGTTTGAGAACTGACTCTCTACACATTTGAAATGTCTCTTTTGTTGTGGGATTGGTTTTCACTACGTACGCATTTAGAAATGTAATCTCACACATTTGTGTCCGTTTTTTTATTGTTTGCCTTCTGTATGTAATTGCATTATCACTTGTGTGATGTTTAGAAATATTTTAGTTAAGAGGACACAATTCAAGAGTTTAATTAACCATTGCCAAGAAATGTAAAAACGAAACTACTTTTATTCATTCAAAGCATCCGGCAAGAAAAGAAAATAGTAGTTTCTTCAACAGCTTAAAGACAGCTCAAAGAAATCTACTGATGGATGAAGATGCAAACAATTCACATAAGCAACAGGGGGGTCACTACCCAACTGCTGCTGCTCTTGCTGGGCCATTTGGCAGCTTTGATGCTACCCTGGTAAACAAATAAACTATTTAAAGCAAAACTCAGTCTAATTCTTTGTGGACTTAGTTGCTTAGTTCCAGTGGCAACTTACCTAAGATTTAACAGACAGTAGAAGGTCAGTTGCAAAAGGAAATTTAAACCAAATATTTAAACCAAATATTTAAATATTTGTGTGTATAGCAGTAAGATAATAGACTTCATCAAAGTAAATTTGGACCTTCCTAATTAGCCCCAGTAGCAGTTTGAAATTTACAGATGCCGCACGTTCAGTCTAATTCCTGCCAGTGTATATAGTCATCCACCTTTCCTCTCAACTACTTAGGATGTCATTTATCATGAACAATTCAAGACATTCAGCAAAGTTTAAAATCACATGAGGTATTCTTAGTAAAATCTTCATCTTGCAGGTCATCTGAGATTTAACCATCAACTATTGTTTGGACAATAAATTACTTTATCTTTTCAGCATAAAACTGTCATTACTAAAGTAAGCCATGTCTCATTTTTATTAAATCAAGAAATAGAATTTCCATTTGTCATTATTCACCTTACAATGCTTCCTACTATACAATACCTATTTCTCTCTTTTTTGTCATCTCCATAAGTTAAATAAATAACAATTTTCTTAACAAAATAATCACTGTATTATCTAGTGATCGAGCCAACTTAGAAGTCGTATCTTTCCAAAAGATTTGTCTGCTTAGGTTTTGGCTGATCTTATGTAAAGGTATAAGCTGTGATTTTAACAACATTCTTGAGGCCAGGCGATGTGAAAAGGGAACTTCTGGCTACCCTACCAATGAGCACCTGGTAATACAGCAGATGACTACAGGAATGAAACTATTTTGAAGTTAAATGGCCTATTTCCAAATGTCAGTAGAGCCAGAATCGTAATTATGGAAATACTTTCATGACTTTGTAGATTTATTTTTGTAACAATTGCACTGATTTAATTTTTTCCTTTAGATAAGAAGGAGGCTATATAAAGCAATATTACCAGGAAGAAAGTCCTTCAGTAGTTGTTGAAACACAGTCTTTATGTTTGTTTCCTGAATCAGACTCTATGCCTGGTAGAACTACTGCTTTAAAATTATATTTGTTAAACTGCTTTATCTGCTCTTCCTCCCTTTGCTACAGTGACCCATTTCCCAACTCAGTGACTCAGTCTGACGTGTACAAGATGCTCCATGCCAACCAGGAGGAGCCCAGTCAGCCGCGCCAATCTGGTTCCTTTAAGGTGCTCCAGAATTTAGTCTCCGAGGAAGGTGGTTAATAATGACATATTCTACCTGTTCAAATAGTTTTAAAATGTTTGTGGGAAGGGGGAATCTAAGAATAAAGTGAGAGATATCAGAGATATAAGCATTGCTGAAAGCCTTAATCATTCTGTATCTTATAATTATCACACAGGTCTCCTGTCATTTCGCCTCCTTGCTTGTATGGCTAGCAATCTCCTCTGTGAATACAATGGAGGTGTTAATCACCTTTTTCAGAATCTTTTCTCATGTTTTAAGATCAATAATGTACAGTTGACTTTAACTGAATGATAAAAAGTTTTATATGAGAGGATTTTTGAGACAAGCTCCTTATACTCATGACACCGAGAAAGAAAACGCTCTCTTCCACATCCAGGAAAAGAGGAATTAAAACAAACTCTTAAAATCCCCTTAAAACCAATTCTGTCTTCATTCTAAATAAAAATTGAAGAGGATAATATAATTTACAGTCATATTTCCTTCAAATGAAGAAATTTTGAAAATAAAATCCCTAAAAACTGCAAGTTTGTTATATTTACGATAAGCATAAAGAGTAAAATAAAACCATAATTAACCTAAGAGATAAATATTTAAAATTTTAATGTTTATGTCTCAATATTTACCAGAGAAGGGATAAATACATCTAATTGTCTATATATATCGTGGGATTTTGCTTGGCATCCTCTTGTATTTTGTTATTATTTTGTATTCATATCATGCTACTAATCATTCCTATTTTTTGTATGGTGATTTATATAAATAAGAAGCTTTCTAACAATAGGTCTTGATTTTATTATGTTGCTATATAAAGCCTCCTCCCTCTCCTGCTATATTCAAGACCTACTACCAGAGAATTAGATGATGTCCATGAGACGGAGAGCACTGCATATACGATCTCTTTTGTACTTGCTTTTTGGCTACGGCTACACAACACTTTTCCTGATTCCAGAGAGGTGGAATGTGGCCCACAAAAATTCTACAGTGAAACGGCATTGTTTGTTGATATAAGTGAAAGCCTGTAAATACATCCAGTAGTATATTTACAGGAAAAGTACTTAATGCATCAGATTCTTTTATATCAGCCTATACATAACTGGGTTGTTCTGTTTCTCAGATGGGCGCCCTGTGGGTACAAGGAGTGTGAAAGCCCCTGTAACAAAGGCACCTACTGCCATGCCTGGTGTCCAGAAAGTGCCACTGTGTGACAAGTGTGGGAATGGGATTCTGTAAGTTCTTTCTTTTTAGTTTTAGAAATCTCTAGCTCAAGAAATTTCTAAATCTGTAATTATTAACCTCTACCTTCAACAATTTCGATACAGATTATTTCAGTTTTGAAAATGTACTGTCAAAGTTTTTAATTGAGATTTCCCAGGACCTTTTGCAAGTCAACCATTAACACACACATAATGTAACTAGCAGTTATCTGTGCTGTGTTATCTCATGCTGTGAATTCTCAAAAGTTTCTTGGTAGTGCAAAGCACCCTTCTCCCAACCTAGTGGGTGTATCCAGAAAGCTCTGTGAACTTATTTTAAAAATACGAGATTTCTACCTGAAAGTGCTAACTTCATCAAAGAAGACAGATAATTATGAACTCAGAGAACACTATCGCTAAAGAATGGAATGTGGTTTTGAAACTCATTTTGTCACTATTTTGATAGGTTAGGATGTACTTTCTGTCTTGTAACCAAACTAACATGTTTCTTTAAACTCTTAATTTTCCAATGCACTAATGAACTATGTGATCAACTCTACAGCATTTTATGTCACTTACTCAAACTCAGCATCCAAACTTAAATAATATAGTAGTTTCCAAAACCATCAGACGAACAACCTTAAAATAAATACATAGAACATTCTTTGTGTAATATTGTATCACAATCATAGTCATAGAATGGTTTGAGTTGGAAGGGACCTTAAAGATTATCTAGTTCCAACCTCCCTGCAATGGGCAGGGATGCCTTCCCTTGACCAGTTTGTTTCAGTTTCTTCTCACTTTACAATTCATATGAATTAATTCGGGTTTTTTTCTTTTCATTGTTTCCATACAGAGGAACAGTGGTGAAGGCACGTGATAAATACCGGCACCCAGAATGTTTTGTGTGCTCTGACTGCAATCTCAACCTGAAACAAAAAGGTTACTTCTTTGTGGAGGGCCAACTGTACTGTGAAGCTCACGCCCGAGCTCGTATGAGGCCACCAGAGGGATATGAAACAGTCACCGTTTACCCAAAATGCTAGTCTTAGATTAACACACAATTATATGCATGCACACAAAAAGCCATTTCCAGCTTAGAACTGCAGTACAAGTGTCAGGACTTCGGACTAAATCCAAAGTAGCATCCTTTAAACCTTCCCTTGAGGGATTCTGGGGGAGATGGAAGCCCCTATTAGCCAGCAGTAGCATATTATACCAGAAAAATTCTGCTAAAATATTGTCTTTGAAGTTGTCAATATAAGTCAAGGAAGTACAAAATAAAACAGCTGTCCTGGAATACAAAAAGTGAAACATGAATGCTACAACATATACATAAGTGCTTTACTGTAAACAAGACATTATTTCTAACATAAATTAAGTATCTATGCAAACACCAACACCATCGAAGTCTTAGAGTCTGCAAATGTAGAGGCTTGACAGGTCATTAAAAAAGCAGCTATTTTAAATGGATAGTACAAAACAAGCAGTTGTTCATATCTGCTTCATGTCTATTATTCAACAAGCATTAATGTGCACTCCAGAGAGATTTTGCTTACTTTGCTTTGAATTTGGGGCTATAGTGCCTTAATTTTCTGATTCAGCAACTGTGATAAAGAATAGATGTCAAGTCACATAATAAAATGGCTAGTATAATAAAGACTGGTTAGTATGAAGCAAAACAAAAATTCTATGTTGTCTTAATGATTTGCAATGGTATCATCTTTCATATAACTTAGCAAAAAAATTGTTCTGAGGCATGAACACACATACATTGTTTTCTGGAAAAAAAACCCACACTCTAATAAAAACTCACTGCAAATTGAGTTTGAAAGTACATTTTAAAACGTTTCTGCAGAAAATTATACTGGATTTTTGCATCTCCATCTTTTAATTTCCATAATAGAAAAAAAGGGGAAACATCATCATAATATCTTTGTTGCTGGAAAATTAAAGCTTGGACAACTTTAAAAACAATTGTTAATTAAAATATACAAAGGAAAGATCTCTTACAAAAAAACTAGTGAAGTCCTAAGGAAAAAAAAAAAGGCTGAAAGAATACATTTTGGTCATCAATTCCTGGAATTTGTCAAGGGCTACACTGCTTTCAGGTAGCTGTCAGCTACATAAACACACCTAACTGGCAAACCAAACCTTAGCGTTTACAAATAATACCAACAGAAGTCAGAAATTATTTATTGGGGTATTTTGAACCCAATTTAAAGTAGAATAATCTACAAAATTTTTTATCAAGTCTACAAGACTAACAAAAAATAACTTCATATACTTTTCCCATTCTACAATATAAGAAGCTTAAAATGTAAGTAGAATATGAAATCAAAATAAGAAGCTGTCCATACTTCAAATTTATTTTAAAAATTCACAAGTCCCAAAGATTGAAATATAACGTCCACATATTCAAAGACTTTTCAAAATATCTTAAAGTATTATTTCAGAATTTAAAAGTTTTAAAAATGAGTGTGTCACTGACTATATTATTTACATTCGTATATCATAAGCAGACAAAAAAGTGTTGCACCCTTTCCAAGGTTAGTTCCTGAAATATTTTTGGGCACAAAACATAATTCTGCTCTTCAGGTATCATGGAGGCTATGTATAGTATTAATATTTTCCCACTAATAAAGCACACAAATATGAAAATCCTTTTGGAAGTGAGAGTGCACATGTCTATTTTTACAAACTTAAAATGTCATTGGTGTTTTAAAATGTTTGTTTAATGTTTCTGTCTTTGTATGTAACTAAAGGTAAAAATAAATCTATTACATATGATAAATATTCTGTGTTTCTTTTCAAATGGTATGGAAAATGAGAAAGTGTGAGTGTCAAGTGACTTGACAATAACAGAAGTTTGGCATTTCACCCTGACAGAGCAGTTTGCTTCAGACTTATCAAACCCCTGGCAAGAACAAAAGGCAATTTTTCTATTAGGCATTTGAGTATATAACCTGGGCTTTCTAAAACAGAATGAGATCACGTGCCTTCAAAACTAAACACCAAAAACTGCTCTAACACGCCAAATATGCCAGTTACAAATGTGGGAAAACTCTTGGGAATGCAGATACAAGGACTGTTATGTTACAAGGAAGTCACAGAATGTGACCTGATCCTAAAACTTTGGAGGAAGTTCAGTGGTATTGCATCATGACACAGTGCTATTTCGAGATGTTTGAAGTTGGATGTGACTTTGGTAGAATTAGAAGGTAAGCCTATCTAATTGCAAGTACCAACCTATAAGAAAACCTTTACACCAATGTAACATAAAGGAAACTACAATTTTCAGTTAATGCAGACTCTGAAATCCTTGATCCTGATAGAGGAGAAAAATAGGAAATCTCATCCTACAGTCACTTCAGTCTGGGAGAACTGAATATAGAGTTTTAAATGTGAGAGGAAGATAGAATTCTTTCTATGGCATGTTCAAGGCCGAATTCTTTATCTCAGTAGGGTTTCAGTGATTCATGGCACAAATCCTTAACAAAGTGTCCAGCTGAAGAACAACCCACTTTATCCTCTGGCTTCGGAATGACACAGCCATTCAATCATGATAGCTCGATGCTACTATGCCTCTCAGCTGCATCTGGACTTTTCTTATATATATTACAAGCCAAAGGCAGACATGGCATTTATTTTTAGACGGAGAGAGAGGTAGGAAGTGTGACCTCATATGCTTGTTATCTCGACTTTTCAGATATTGATCAACAGGTGTGAAAAGCTTTCCTCAGCTATGCTATTGCTGCATAAACAGCAGGGCTGTTCTGGGAGATGCTAAAAACTTGTATGAAACTGTAATACTCCACACAAAAAAGCCAAGAATTGCCTCTGAAAACACACATATTAATTTATATGGTACTTTTGTATCACTTGTTACATGACAAATTTGGTTTTTTGGTCTTTCAAGTAATTCAGTGTTGCCAACAATCTGGGACCTAAAAAAGTTCTCTAAAGCAGTTAAAAGAAACTACACTGTTTCCATCAACTAAATAGCTTCTTTCATTTTTTTCAACCACATTTCATCACTTAAAAAATTAGACTAGAACTTTTGTTCAGTTCAGAAGTATGCTATTGAAATAAACTGTGTTATTTCCAGTGACTGTGTTTTGGTTCACATCACACAACAACTTCAGAGTGCACAGAGTGGTTTCATTTAGGATGAAATTCCACCAGAATTTGTTTTCTGGGAGCACTGCTAATGCATATCAACCAGTAATTGGAACTTAATCCATAGAATCAAAATAGAACTGAACAGACCATCCCTGAAACATGTATAAACAAAGATGTCAGGTCCTCAGTACCAACTGATCTCCTCCTACTGCATCACGATGCCTTCTAAAGCACACAAAGCTTGAAGCATTGCTTGCAAGTTTTATAGAGGAAAGGTTTCTTAACAGAAATTAAATTACCAATTGCTTATCCAGTCTCAGAATTTGAACCGGTTTCAGAGGTTTCAATGCTCAGAGTTGTTTGATCAAGACTTCTGGTTCAAATTTCTATAAACCATATCAAAGGGAACAACTGTGCAGCTGTACAGATCTGACTTGCTTGTAAAACACATGCACTTGATTTAAACTCCATTTTAGGGGGCTTTTACACAAGGACAGGACCATTATTTACCTAGTGCATTCATTCATTTATAAATAAAATGGTGGGAAATAAAACACGTGTTGGCCTGTATCCAGCAAATTTTATCTCTAAAGGCAACGTACTCTGCAGATTTGCCTGTTTCTGTTTCTTTTTTTTAACTTCTGTCATCCAAGAAAGCTATTCAGATAGCTTCTTTTGAAATTGTTAACAAGAAATTTCCACAGATTATTCCTTTTTTTTTAATGCATGAAGTTTTGAAATAAAATGCATACAAGTCTTCAGTTTATGGTCAGTGGCACCAACTAAAATCTTTGCCTCCACAGCATATGCTGGATAAATAATATGATTTACACAATGTCTGAGTTCACAAAGGATTTTGTTTCTATATATGGTAAAGCACACATTTGTTTCAGCATACTCAGTGAGTGGTTTTAGTTACACGCACCCTACCTAATCCTCCCTCTCTTGGCACACCAGGGCAAAGACCAGTAGAGCTTTTAGGAGAGTCTAGAAAGACTATATTACGTTACTCTGGGAAAAATGCTCTCTTTGGCACAGGCTAGAACAGTTGTCCAAAATAAAACTTGAAAGAAACACTGTTTCATACAGTTCACATGCTGACAAAATTACAGGAGTGTTAGAGTGACAAATCACAAAACACAGAAACTGTAGAATAGTTAAAGATTATTATTTATTACTCAGAAAACAAAATATTCACTAAATACCAATAGGATTCTGAGGCGAAAAATATTTTGCAAGGTTTTCACAGTTTTTCTTTTCATGACACTGTTCAAAACCAGATTTATACAGATGTCTCATTCTCTGGTTTGGTTTTTTTTAATCTTTTTAGTATATATTTGATTTAAGAGGTTTTTAATTATCCTGCTAAACCAGCAGTTATATAAAGTTAAATAGTTAAATAATAATTACGCCAGATATACTAAAGAGATATGACTGGAACAATATGTTCAATGGCAACAAAAAAAAAAAAAAGAAAAACAACAGGTAATACATGCAGCCAAACTGCCTCCACACATTCAGGCCAAAATCAAGTTTCTGTATCACAAATAAGAGCAATATTCTGACTTTATGCAAAGCCTATAGGGTGTCAGTATTTGACAAGCAGTACAAGGCACAGAAATATTCAGTCACAAGGCACAAAAATATTCAGTCTGTTTGCATAGAGAAAGGAATCTAAGTGCCCCAGCACTAGCTTTGCAGCCAGGGTAATTACAAGGTGCTTGCAGACTGTGCAGATACAGAAAGCACAGGCATAGGTAGTTTTCTGTGAGAAGGAATAGATCCCAAAGAGAATCTGTGATTGAACAAATCACAGTCTTTTGCTCCACTTACAGGCAAAATAACCTTTTTATATATTGAACTCATTCAATTCAGCAATTATAAATGAATGCTATCTATTTAGTAATCATATTTTGGAATGAAATTTCTCTCATTGGCAGTGTCACAAATAATTCTCACCACTGCTCTATCCTGTGGAGTTTGGACTTCTAACATTTTTACTTCTACATCTTGCAGATTTAAGAAAGTTGAGAGTGGGATAAAACTGCCAAATATGAGACAGTTAACTAAGACACTTCTATTTTGGCTTTCTAATATTTTCCAAGAATTGCATTCATTTCTGCTGTTTTACTGTTGCAAATTGCCTCAATTTAATTTTCCTTTTGCTGCAATACCCCTACCTTCCAAATCATGGTCAGTTTTACAGAGAGCCCCTGTTCACTGCTCTGGATCTCTTGCACCTGTTTGAGCAAGCCAGTTCAAAACCTTACACAAGTAGGATGTAGGAGGTGAAAACTATAATTGTTTCAAAATTAAATTCTCCCACTATCTACCTTAACTCTTCCTATAAGAAAAGCATATCTTACAAGAACACTCAGAAGCAGAGGTGGTACAACTATACCAGCCACTGTACTGAGAATAAAAAAATAATTGGTAGCACACAGTCCAAAATTCAGACCAGCAGGCAAGGCAGTTACAGTATGAACGGGAAAGTGGCATGATGCCTTATAAACATTTTTCCACACAAAGTTGATGGAGGTTGAAATAAAGAAGCTCTAAGAATCTCAAAGTGAAAGAAAATGCATAAATAACCAATCATCAGAAAGAAAGAACAGACAGAGCAAAACTTGTGAAAACTAGTTACACACTAAGACACCAGCAAAATCTTTTATCAGTTGATCTAGTTGCTGGCTCATAACAATTTCTCTCTTCCCTAAACTCAAATGAGAAACCAGGTAAGGATCCTGCACTGTGTTAACAGGGTTAGTTCTTTAAACTTCTGCTTGACTACACAATCTCAGGGATGTCGATTGATTCTTTGATCCTAACACAGGATTATAATTCTAAAAATGATCGGTTGTTTCTTCTCTGACTCATAATTCATCTAACCTTTTCCATTCTCACTCTGGCTCATTATGAGATTCTTCTCTATGAGCACATACACCACCTGGCTCTGATAATTGCCTTCTTGACATACTTCCTCTTCTTTGCTTACTAACTACTGGCCTTTTTGAATCCAAAGCTACTTTCACCCTTGACAGAGTATGAAAGTGTAGTGCTTCAGAAATGGTGCACTGATGCACAGTGCTGTTTTTCCTTACAAGTCCATAAAAATGCCAAAGAGGTCAGTTCCCTTATTAAACGTGGAGTTTTAATGACCTTGTTGACATTGTTCTTTGAAAAACACACCTAAACGCAGATGGGGATTTTGATGTCTGTTAGCAAAATTTGTAACAGTGATTGTCCTGCTCTAGGCAGAAGAAAGGACTGAGTAAAATATGTTTTACACTGGTAGCATCTGGGCCAATAACAGGCTGTCAAATCAATCATGGCTCTACTCTGGCATGTAAGGAAAAAAGGCAAAACCTTCGAGGCATTCAGAACGCAGTGCTGCGCTGGATCTCACTGCTTATTGCCAAAAGGTTTTTCATGGCAATTAAATTTCGTGGAAACAAGGCCGCCTCCTGAATGCTGAAAGGGCTCAAACTCATGTTCTCACCACAATACAAAAGATAATACAGTGATCTGAAAGTAGGACAATCTCTTTTTTCCCAACATTCCAAGATCAGACAAAAATGCTAAATGTCTGACCTTATATTTAACTCACCAATAACAGAGGATACTGGATACAT